TAGCTAGACTACCTAAAATATTAACAATTACTACTCTATCTTTAGAACCTACTACTAAAGCTAGCAACTTAAGTAGAGTTATAACTAAAGCATAGAGCTTAAATAGAGTTTATACTTATACATAATAAGCTTTACTAGAAGCCTAACTCTAAGTTCTAGAGCTTATAATCTATAGTTCTAGAGAGTAATGCATTTAACACTATTGTTAATGAATATCTACAGCTCTTACATATAGGCTAGACAAAAACATAGACTATTCTATAATAGAAATACTATGGGCTAAAGCAAGAAGAAGCAGAGTTTATAGTAAAGTAATGTAAAAATTACATACTAAATTAACCTACTACTACAAAAGCTCCTCTAGTTCCTATTACTATAGGCTAAGTATAGGAAAGGGTTTAAATTAACTTAATTAATATGCACTATAAGCCTTCTAGATAATATAAGTAGATTCTATATATAAAGGATTACTTCTTAAAATATACACAGCTATGTCCATTAAAGAGCAAGCATGTAGAGCTAATTATAGACTACTTTACTACCTTTATTATAGCTTTCTTACCTCCTAAGATTATGTAAGCTAATAATGGGAAGGAATTTAAGGGGGCTCTACTTATCCTACTATAAAAGTATAGAATTCAAGTAGTAAATGAAGCACCATAGTTACCTTAAACGCAAGGCCTAGTTAAGTAGGCAAATGGAATTATAGAAGCAAAGCTCTAAGCATAGAAAATGGACCATAGGTCTATAGAGTAGAAGGATAGGCTACTTAAGGTCATGCTTGTAATGAACACCTAAATCCACTCTATAATTAGGTGTGTACTAGCTAAGCTACTATTCTAAGACAAGAACTCTTATATTAACTAGCTTAATAGCTAGGCCTAGAAGGATCTCTTAATTAGAGTTAAGTAGGAGGACCTTAATATAGGACTAATTTTTAAGAGCTAGCTTAAGCCTAAAGCTTAAATTAACCTATAGCTTTAGTAAGAGTAAGAGCTCTTAATTAATTCTAAGCTAGCACCCTTAATTAATTCTAAGCTAGTGCTCTTAATTAATTCTAAGCTACTACTCTTGCTTAATTCTAAGCTAGCACCCTTGCTTAATTCTAAGCTACTACTCTTGCTTAATTCTAAGCTAGCACCCTTACTTAATTCTAAGCTAGTGCCCTTACTTAATTCTAAGCTAGTGCCCTTAATTAATTCTAAGCTACTACTCTTGCTTAATTCTAAGCTCTGTTATAAGACCTAGGCTTAGGTACTAGCTTAGCCTAGGACTAAGCTTTAAGCTACACCTAACCTTATAATTAAGTAGGCTATAGTAGCTACTTAAAGAGCATGGGTTTCTATAGTATGTAAGTACACTAAGAAGCATAACATATAGCACTTTAAAGTAGGGGATATAGTCTCTATAAAGGTTCCATAAGAGGATAGAACCTTAACTAATAATAAGAGGCTCTTTACATGCATTTTAAAAGAGCTTTACCTATACTAGTATTAGGTTATAACAGCCTCTAGTATTATATAACGCCTTATACCTACAGAATCACTTAGTGTTATAAAGTAGGCTCTATAGTCTAATATTTAAATTCCTAATTCTATAAAGTAAGTAGGATTAGGGCTTATAGCTAGAGAGGCTTCTATAAGTACATAGGTAGAAATATCATGTTAATATAAGGGTTAATGTAGTACAAAGAGATGCTGTTACTATAAGGAAGCAAAGGAGTATAGTATATACTATTATAATAATAACTATAACTATGGGAATTTATTAGGTCTAGCTACTTATATAGAAATAGCTTTACTTAAGAGGCTATGAAGGAAGTAGGCAAGAGTAGACATAGTAGGTAATACTATATAGTTTAATTAATTAATTACCCTTACTTATAGTTAGGCTAGCTAGTTTATAAACTAGCTAGCTAATTTATAAGCTATAAAACTCATAGTTAGGCTAGCCTACTTACAAACTAGCTAGCTAGTTTACAAACTAGTAAAACTTATAGTTAGGCTAGAACATTTATATAAGTAAAATGATGCTATAAATAACAGGATGCTATAAATAACACAAAGCTATAAATAATAGGAAGCTATAAATAACAAGAAGCTATAAATAACCTAATGCTATAAATAACAAGATGTTATAAATAACAAGATGCTATAAATAACAAGATGTTATAAATAACATAATGTGATAAATAACAAGATGCTATAAATAACATAATGTTATAAATAACCTAATGCTATAAATAACAAGATGCTATAAATAACCTAATGCTATAAATAACAAAATGCTATAAATAACAAAATGCTATAAATAACAAGAAGCTATAAATAACATAATGCTATAAATAATAATAGATTAATGATGCTACTACTCTCTATGAAAACTATAGTCTTTATAGAGATGTTATAGTCCTTATAATCTTTATCTAAGTTTATATAGTAGGTGCTTATGTAGTTCCTAATAAGCAACTATACCTAGTTGCTATTCTATACCCTTAGTAGCTCCTTTATTAGCTTTAGTAATGCTATAGTTAGCCTCTCTAGTAGGCTTATGTTTAATAACTCTATTATTCTAAGCACTATGTATACTCTACCTAATAACTACTTTATTACTAACGTTAATGGCTATCTATTATATAATGGCTTTAAATACTCTACCTTTTATGCTAGGAGGTATATAATATAAACAATTACACCTATTATAATATCTAGTACTATAGACCTAAGCATGGCTAAACTAAGTAGCTACATCCTAAGTTGTTATATTTAGCTTTCCTTAGGAACCTACCTATGAAATGATTTATAAATAGTACTAACACTAGTTACCTTCCTCTTAATATAAATTACCTTAGTATCTAATAACACTAATGACAATAGTAATAAACATAAACTATAAATATCTCTAAAGTAGATAATTCCCCTCTATAGTATATAAGTCTTATACCTATCCTTACCTTCATTCTCTAACCCTAAAATTATAACAATGACCTTCTAACTCTTTATAACTCTAGCACCTACACCTTTAAAACCCTTAAAATCTTTACTTACTACTAGACTACTATTATAATTATAGCTTATAGCTACTAGTAATTATAACAATAGGTAGCTATAGTAGCTACTAAGGTTATAGAGAACTACTAAGCACATAGCTATATATAATAAGGAATAGCCTTACTACCTTCCTTTTCTTCTCCTTCTTTCTTTAAATTTAATCTAGCTTATTATTCTCTAGACTAGCTTCTTAACCTTTATAACCATTATAACATAAGATTAAATCTCTCCTTTCTTTTACTCTCTAAGTATAAACCTTAATACTAAAATTTAAATTCCTTTCTTTAGAAACTCTAGAACTATATCCTAAAGTTAATTCTAGGACCCTAGCCTTAATGCTTCCATTAACTCTACTACTAATGACATGTAGCTTAGGCTTACTAGATAGACTAGCTACATACTATAGACGTTTGCTACCTTATATGCCATGGACTAGGCATACCTTATGTGCCTCTAGCTAGAGCTAATCTACTAGTATAAGGTCATGTTAGGGCTATAGTACTAGTAGCTATAGCTTAGCAAGCTTAAGTAGAAGCTCTATGCTAAGTAGCTATAGGACGTGCCTACACGCCTAGATAGAGCAGCTCTACTACTACTACTACTACCTAGGCAGCCATAAGGGTAGCTATAGAAGTAGTAGCTAGAGGCATAGCTAGCCTAGTAAGTAGCAAGAGGAGTAGTAGCTAGCTAGCTTAAGCTACTACTAACGTAGCTTAAAGAGCAGCTATAAGGGCTATAGGTAGGTACATGGCTAGCCTAGTTAGTAGTAGTAGAAGGACTAGTAGAGGACAGCTAGCCTAATAGGCAGCTAGCTTAGTAGCTACATAAGTAGGCAGACTAGCTACTAGGGCTTAAGCATATAAGTAACAACCTAGCTTAGGTAGGCTGCTTAGCTAAGCGCTAGGCAAGGGCTAGGCTAGTAACGCTCCTACCTACCACCCCTCTACTAACCTCCCCTACACCTAAGATAGAGGCTAGGGTTAATCTAGCCCTACCTACTACTCTAGCTACTTAGGCCATAGGCATAGGTGAAGGTAGAGGAGGATGGGTGGATCTAATGGGATCTCTAGCTCTTATGAGCCTAACTATACCTCTTGCTCCTATATGCTCTCTACTTAGGCCACTTAGCTCTAGTAGCTTTAATAAGGGCCTAGGTAAGCTTTAGGCCCTTCTTAATAAGAACTCATAGACGTAAAGGCTAGAGGGAGGGCCACCTTATCCTAACCTATATAAGTAGGCAAGTACTAGGAGGGCTGCTAGTAGTAGTCTCCTATGCTAGCTACGTCCTAACCTATATAAGTAGGTGCTATACACACTAAACCCCTAGCTAGTAGCCCTATCTAGGCTGTAGTTAGGCTCCTTTACCACCCCCCTAGTTTAAGGCTTCTCCCCTACATTACTAATCTACTACACCTCCTTCTCCTCCTACCCCTCCATCTAGTAGCACTAGTAGTAGTGCTAGTAGTAGTAGTAGTAGTAGTGGTAGTAGTAGTAGTACATGGTGCTAGTTGAGAATCCTGTCCTTAGTAATAAGATTATGGTAAGGACCTAGACGTAGGGATCTAACACCATCATTAGTGTCTTTAACTACTATGGCTGCCTTAACTTCTACATTACTAACTATAACATGGCTAGGAACTACATGCCTACACTTACTAGCACCTTAACCTCCCTTTAATTTCCTATTACATAGCCTAAGGGCCCTAGTATTAAAGCTATTATAGCTATGTCTAGATAGAGTAGGAAGTAATAGATATTAGCATAGCCCCTAGGTTTAATTTCCTTATAAAGTAGCTCATTTAAGAGCCTTGTCTTATAGCATTATAATTTCTTAAAAAGTAGCTTAAAAGCTATAAGGATTAAGGTTGCTACTAGTACATAGAAGAAAGAAAGAAAAAAAAAAACTAATTATACTTATCTCCTAGGCAAGAGTTATGTATAATTAATAACTAGCCTTAGTGGGATTTAAACCCATAACCTCCTAATTTAGAACTAGAGATGCTACCCTTATACTATAAGGCCTTTAGATTTAGAGAGGGAGAAGAAGAAGGGGGTTATAAGGTTATAA